CAACAACCTTTCCCCCTACAACCACAATAACCATTCCCCCAACAACCACAACAACCATTCCCCCTACGACCGCAACAACCATTTCCTCAGCAGCCCCAACAATCACAACAATCATTTCCCCAGCCCCAACCCCAGCAACCCCAACAACCATTTCAGCAGCCCCAACAACAATTATCCCAGCAACCAGAACAAATAATTTCCCAGCAACCCCAACAACCATTTCCCCAGCAACCACACCAACCTCAACAACCATATCCACAACAACAACCATATGGGAGTAGTCTTACAAGCATCGGTGGCCAATGAAATGAAGACCTGTAATACAAGACAGATGAATCATCGTTGTTTAGTCAATGAGCGTTCAATGTAACGATGATAAATAAAGTGATGTGCACCATAATGTGTAACCCCGACCTATACTAGTTCAAACATGGGAATAAAAGACAAAGAAAGTTCTTGTCACAAAGATATTACTCGTAATTGTTAGATTCATGCCGTATTTAGATTTTCATCCCTAGCTACAATCTCAGTCTTATGCATTATCTACCTATTTATGTAGTGAAGTCATATGAACCTAACATAATTAATGGATGCAAAACTTGGTTTAAATTGAAGGCTACATTGTATTAGCAAAATCAAATATCATAATTGGGTATGTACAAAGTAAAGGACACCATTCATTGGAATTTGTAGCAAATAAATTAGTAGCATACCATGCATTTGTCTAGAAGATAAGGGTTGTTGTCATACTCAAGGACACAGTTGCATGTGTACCCTAGAATGTGTAATTAGCCATTTGTGGAATTCACGCACTTGTTGCTGCTGCCACTGCATGTGTAATTAGCCGTGTTATTATGTTTGGCATCTACACATGGACTCACATTTCTTATAGCCCAATCAACCACCATAGGTACACTCTAAGGTGTGTGCCATTGAACGTGGTGTTGCTTATGTGTGAAGTGCTAAAGTTGAATTGTGTTGTCTCCATTAGCATTGCATAGCTGCACCGGTTGAACTCCCAGACTTCACTTGTGTTGACCGACTTGAAGAAATATATATAATAGTTGCGTGTCTTCCTTGGAATCGTAGTATGGGATCAACCGATATTGGAGTAGCATCCGTCCACTAAGTCTAGCAGACCGCGACACGATGCGACACCATAGGCTTGGAAGCCCGTTCCCATGTCATCGTGTCGCTCACAAAGGCAAGGGCATTGCACCTTAGAGCATCTCCAACAGGCGCGCCAAACTAGCGCCGCGCCGCAAAATCCCCCCTTTTAGCGCGCGCGCAACCGGAATAGCTGCTCCAGCGGGCGCGCGAAAACCGCGCGCGTGGCATATGTAGTCCAGCGCGCGGGCCGAAACGCAATCGCGCGCCGCTTATTTGTTGCGCCCGCTCCCGCGCGCTGGACTCTCGCGCGCTCGCTCGCACCTCCCACCCACCCATGCAGCCGCACCGCCGCCGCCGACCGCGCCACCCGGCGACCGTTCCGGCGCTTCCCTAGCCTATCCCCGCCCCGCGCACGCTTTCTCCGGCCCCCCTCTAGGCCCGCCGCCCCGCGCGCGCTTTCTCCGGCCCCCCTCTAGGCCCGCCGCCCCGCGCGCGTGCTGGTCTGCCGACGAACAGCGCCCGCGCGCTCGCTGCCGCTCGGCGCCCGCTAGGTGTTCGACAAAACGCCTAGAAGGTATGTATTGCTCAAAAGCCATGAATTTTGTGCATGTTGATTGTAGTTTTTTATTTATAGCATAGTATTCAACATTGTAGATGAGTTCGTCGTATGATTCTTCCGAAGAAGAATTTGATATGAAAGAGGAGGAGGATCTTGCAATGATCCTAGCTATGCATATTAATAAAAAACCGAAGCACGGTGGTTCAGTTATGGGTCGGCAAAAAATTTGGAGGGATAGGATCGATGCCCACAAAAGATTGATCAGGCATTATTTTGCGGAGAATCCCACATACC